TATATGTATGTATGTATGTATGTATGTATGTATGTATGTATGTATGTATGTATGTATGTATGTATGTTTGTATGTATGTATGTATGTGTATATTTTGTGTCCTTGGGTGTCCTGAAAGGCGCTTTTTAAATAAAATGAAAAAAATGATTATTATATATATATATATATTATTCACATACATACATACATATATATGTGCGTGTGTACTGTATAAATGTATATATATGTAAGTATATATGCTGGAGGAGTGGCTGTGCAGAAGTTAGAGAAAGTGGGCCTGTGATTGAAAGGTCACCAGTTTGACTCCCAGAACAGCAACATCAAAATGTGTGGGGGAAACTTGAAGCACCCACACCTGCCTCCACCCTCATTTGTCCCACTCTGGGCCCTTGAGCAAGGCCCTTAACCCCCACCTTCGATTCCCCCGAGTGCCATTGTCACCTGTCTTTAAATATTTCAGGATAACCTCTATTGAACTTGTTGCTGCACAACAACCTACTTACAACCACATAATGACCTAAAGTCAAATGCTTTCCTAGTTTCCTAATGCTTTTTATTTCTGGCTTTATTTGGCAGTGCAGACTTGTCAAATAGGCACATGTAAGCATTAAATAAGAAAGTGTTGTTGCAGGTGTGACACTACAGCATTAAACTAGTTTGTGTCCATCCTGGCCAAAGAAGTTGAAAATTTCTTAATTCATCCTCACTAGTTGTGGATGAAAGATGAAACATTTCACCAAAAAGAAACCGTCCAGAAAACCTGACTTATTTTTGCTAGATTTTTCTACCTGGATTATTGATTACGAATCAGGATATTTTCAACCACTTTGGCCAGGATGGCCATCAGTTTGAACCCTCAAACTGATGGTTTGAGCAGGCGGCGGGGGGAGGGCGGACTACAGGAACCACCTGAGCACCATCAAACTGGTTGATCCACTACGAGAAGGTGCTATTTAAAAGACTGAGTTTGTTTCGGCTCCTCGGACTGAAGAAGTCTTTTGGATGAAAGACGAAACATTTAAACAAGAAGAAATCTTCCAGAGGACCTGATTTAACTTTGTTAGATTTTTCTACCGGGATTATTGAGCATCTGATAAGATCTCTTTAACACCACTGAGCGGATTTTCAACAATACGTCTGCAGGGGTTTGATAAGGTTTTTGATCAATACCAGCACGGCTCATTTCAGTCAGGAGAAGAAACCTATTAATGCTGTAGTGTCATGTCTGCAACAACACACTTTTTAATGCAATATCTATAAATGTGCTTATTTGACAAGTCTGCACTGTCAAATAAAACCAAAAATAAATAGCATTAGGAAACTAGGAAAGCATTTTACTTTAGTTCATTATGGGGTTGTTAAGTAAGTATGTTGTGCATCAGCAGGTTCAATAGAGGTTATCCTGAAAGAGTTAAAAACAGCTGACAAAGTCTCTTTAGATGAACAAGAAAACAGATTTTTAAACATTTTATCTTACTCTTGTCTCTGTTTTCTATTTGCATCCCACATAAATCCTCGATGTCTTGCTTCATTGTCTAGTTTTCTGGTCCAGACAGGTTGTAGAGTCAACTTGACTGTAGAGAAGCTCCTGGGAGGAGGTCTTTGGAACAATAGTATGGATATGAGGAGGTAGTGATAAAGCCCTTAGTTTTCTGAACACAGAGTAAAGATCATGGTAAATAGGTGGAACATTTGAAATATCAGATTTCTTGCATACTAGTGGTTAAGAAGGTGAGATAGAGACTGCAGAACATAGACTTTTTTTTTTTTTTACAGAAAGAGCTCCAGTTTTCAATTATTTTGTTTGTCCAATTTATCATGGTGTTAGTTAACTGAGGAAAACTCTAAACCAAAAGGGACATAGAGGATGGAAAAACAAAAAAAACTCACCCTCCTTTTCATGGTTGCTGACTATTACCAGATGAATATGTATGTGAGTTATGAGTGATGGTGGTTGATTTTTTTTTTCTGGTTAATACAGAACCAGTCAGAGGTTGGGGTAGCTGTACCTTGAGAATTTGTAACTGAGTCACCAGATCATCATTGATTAAACTCTATTCACCGGCACCGGGATCCACTAGGGCTTGGATAGCCAAAGTTATATTATTTATACAGAGTAGCTGGAAACATTAAACGGGGACCACAGAGTGACCCATCAGTTTTTCCTGATTTTCTGATGGGATGGCCTTCGTGGTCTCTTCGCGTTAGTGCTGAAATGGTCTGCTACAGAATGTTTCCTTGTTTTAGGCTCAATAATCTTGTTGCCACTTCCTCTTCTGAGAGAAGGTGATGGAAAGCCTTGTAGAAATCTGCCATAAAAATCATTAAAAGTTATTTCTTCAAGTGAATGAGAGTTTAGGTGTGCCTTGGTCAAAGCAAAGGGCCCTTCCTTTCAGTGCTCCAATGAAAAATGATATATTGATGTCATCTGAGAGTAAACGGAGGGGTGGTGTTTCTATATCATATGACAGCACACCATCCCACCTGAGTCTGTTAAAATGTCTCCAAAGGCCAATAACCTTTCTCATGTGTGTCAGAAGTTATTGTTGTGTAGTTGTCTTGACCTTTAATTTTCTTCCTGATTGCTATTTACATTTCATTACAAGCAGATTATATTCAAAGCTCAAGGTTCTTTGTTGTCATTCGCATCACATGTGATACATGAGGTGGAACAAAATTGTGTACTCAAGGTCCCAGTTACATCCAACAATAGCAAAAATATCAAGTGTAAAAGAAACGGTAATAAAATCCAAGATATAAACTAAGAAATACGTTAAACACTAATACTGCAAAACAATACGTCGAACAATAGCAGCATGGACATGAGTCTGTGTGAGTAGATGAGTATGAATGAACACAGCAGCGTGAAATAATCAGCAGCACATATCACCAATCAAAGTGACATTGCAGTGATTTTTTTTCACAGTGATAAACCTGGTTAGGGATTCGTGAGTCTAACAGCTTCAGGGTAGAAGCTGTTCCTCAGTTTAGTAGTTCAGCGCTCAACCTTCTGCCTGAGGGGAGCTGATTATATATAAATACTTCATTCCTATTTTACTGTAGTTTATTGTTGTTTGTACTTTATACAAATTATGTTTTTCTAAACAGGTCTCTCTTGTAAATGAGTCCTCAAGACTCATTGAGACTAACCTGTATAAATAAAGGTTGAATGAAAAAATACCACTTTAACGTGTACCTAATGCCTTTTTGTTGGGATCAATTTTGTTTTCAGGAGGTTGGGTAGCTGTTTACCAGACCCTGGCTGCTGATTACTGAGTTTTAGGTATTTAGAAAGCCCTAAAATGTTAATCAAAATCCAAGAATTAATGCTCTCTAAGAGCTCAAAATTCTTTGGATGCCCATACATTTGGCGTAAAATCTGTGACATCCAGGAGGAGAAGACTTGGAAAAGTGCAGGATTTCCCATCACTACAACTGTGAAACAATATAGCCATTCAATTTCTGTTTGCCTGGCTTTAACTGTTGACCTTTGACACCTCTATTTAAAGCATCATTCTACCCAAATAAACTTACTGTATTCAGATTGAGTGTTTTACTAGTAATTTGGCATCTCTGTGTGGTCATCAAGTTGATTATCATATCCCTTATTATGAGTGGCAGCTGTTTGTCTAAGAAAACATTCATCTTATCTCTCAGCAGCTGCAGTCATTTGTTGGTGTTTAACAATGTGCACATGGGTGAGGGAGGGATGATGTGTCACCATTCCTTCCATACATGTGTGAGTGTGTGCAGCACGATAATGTTTCCATGTCCTAGACACCGCAGACCCATATGAGTCAAAGGTAATCTGTTGTGTGGGCTGGGAGTCTTTATCACAAAGGTTATCCCTGCATTGTTCAATGCTGTTTGTTCACTTGCATGTGAGACAAGACTATTAATAGTTTCCCACCATTTTCTCCAAAGTAATTACGTTTTTTTGGTCCTCTTTTCTCTTCTAACACTCTGCCCTTCATCCTCAACCGTATGCACGTATTATTCTCTGTGCTGGCTCTTATAGTCTTCCCGAATTCATTTCCACTTTCAGTAACATTATGTTTTTCTCTCTTTCACCTCCAGATGAAGGCCAGACAGTTTGCAACAACCCCCCAGAGCTGGCGGGCCAGCGTTTGGGGGAGGTGGGCATGCAGCTGCGAGTTGACTGTCACCAAGGCTTGGGCTACTGGGACTACCTCTTCTTCATCGCCATTGGATTCGTCATCTTCTCAGCTGGCACGGTGTCAGCGTGGGTGATGGGTGTGCTCATGGTGTTGTATGAGCGCTACAGCAAGAGGAAGAGTGAGGAGCTGGACAGTGACGATGAGGAGGAGAGGGGAGCAATGGGTGGAGGCGAAGGCGGCGGAGGAGGAGCGAACCAGGGGAATGGGGATCTGACCAAACCTGGCATGCAGGTGTGATAAACTGATGAGGCAACACGAAGAGAAGGACAGGAGAAGATGTGATGAGAGGAATCCAAATACCCTGCTGTGAACTGAAATCTGCCGGTTGCTCCGTACTGCAGATTTATATACGGCAATATGCTCTTTCACTAATTGGAAAGTGTGTGTGTGTGTGTGTGTGTGTGTGCGCGTGTGTGTGTGTGTGTGTGTGTGTGTGTGTGTGTGTGAGAAAGAGAGAGAGAACAGAGCAATAAGGTTGACTATTCCTTCACATCAGGAAAACAGAATGACCTCTGAATTTACTGAAAGCAATAACCTTGCACATACAGAGTGTGTTCCTTACATACAATGTAACATTTTTCAGCGTTTTACTTTATAATTGTTTTTTTATGGCAACAAATGATATGTGAGTGGCACAGTTAAACACATACACAGTACATCTATGAAGAATGCATTAAGTGTTGTAGAGAAGACACTGATGCCTTGTATCTGCAATAGTTGAGACAGAATAATGGTTTTGTTTCAACATTTAATGTTTATTTCCTGGATGGTCTAAAGGGCCTGGCATACTCCATCTGAAGACGAACAGTCGACTCATGGTCACATAGTTGTGGGACGTTCGATTTCACACACCTTTCATAATCCATGAGACACAGCACAGAGCTCCTGGGAAACCCATCCCATTGCAATATACAGCACCACGTGTCTTTACTCCATCCCTGCATCTGCCGTTTGGCCACAAATCTGTCATGAAGAAAGCGCCACACTTTTCAGCAGACAGACTCCTCCATACACGATGTCTGCACGATCTCCATCCAGGAGTTTTTGTCCATTTGACTAATTTAGTGTGTTTTAAGAATTGTACAGCTGAATGTCAGAGCGCATTTCCTCAAACCTCTGACCAGTCGCACAATACTTGGTGCATACGCCTCTCAGAAAAAGTTCGGCCTGGGCCTTGTGCCAAGGAGCGGCAGGCGAAGCTGCTCTGAGATCAAAATGATGCAATTATCATTGCGTCTACTTCAATGAGAACCGATTTGGCTGTTTCAGATGGAGTATGAAGGGCCTTTTAGACAGCTCACATCAAATAATCAACAGTAACAGTTTTCCCTTTAAGAGTACTTCAAATCTTTTGAGGTGGGATTCTGTGGAAAGGTTGTGAATCATAAATATTCTACCTATTGTAGATAACTCGTTGTGCCGCCTCAGTTTGGAGAAATAGAGTTTAATTCTGACCAGATTGATTATCTGGTAGCTTAGATTAAAGTTGATTGCTTAAATTAAACAGCTCTAACCTCAAAAATGTCATAGTGATCCGTGCAAACTCTATTTATAAACTTTGACATCACTGTCATGTAGACATTACAGATTTATTCCTGTAGAACTATTAGGTCATTTCTAAAGGCAATGACCCAGGGTGCACTGGAAATGCTACAGCTAGCTGCTACTATTTGTGCTTACAAATACCCATTGAATTGTATGTATAATTAAATGTTTAAATGTCTCCTTATACATCAACAAGATGTAAGACACCAGATCTCGCTGGCATGATTACAGTTGGTCTTTTTATCACAAAATATCCACAGGCAAAAAAGAACTGCGGAGGATAAATCCTGATAAATCTTCCAAATACAACACATCAGTTACAATCAGAATGAGCATAGACAGCACAGCTTTCCAGAGTGGATGTTTATTTTCAGTTGTGGAAAAGTTGGACGAGGAAGATCTGGTATTTCTGCCGTTAATTGTGGAGAAGCACTTTTTTGTAAATTTGTCACAGAGACCGCCCCTGTTTCCAACAGATGGTGCAGAAATGTGCTGCTGTGCTGCCCGGCTGAGGAGCTCGCCCTGTCAGTCATCACTGCAGCGGCTGCCGGGAGGAGGCACACTCTTTCTCAGAGAACCACCGCTTCTCCATGCACAAAATTATATAATCTCCTTCCAAACGTTCTTTCACCATCTTTATCAGTTTTCTTTGACTTTATTTATCATTTTTACCGAAACAGTTGTTATGTTGGTTGTATTTTCTAACAACCTTGGCCAGCAGCTCCTCAGCAGACACTGCCCTGAGATCAGCTTGCTGCATCAGCTTTAAAACACGCCGACAAATTTCTGACCACACAATGCTTGATGCATCGTGAGACACGAGACTGGCCCTTCTCATTGACTATAAATCCAGCTTAATGATAAACTGACAGTTGTGTGACGGTTTATAAATTATCATTTGCATGAACCACCATAGATGGACCTGCAACATGTCCAGGGTGTACCCCTCCTCTTATGTAGTGACTGCTGGACATAGGCACCAGCAATCCCTCAACCCAGAATGGAAGAAGCAGGTAAATGTAATGAATCAATGGATGGACCAGTATAAAAAAATATTTGAGGTTGGAGTTGTTTTAACCTATTTTGGTCTTGGCCTTACTCTCAGTCTGGTCAGAAATAATATTTTTAGCTCCAAACTGACATTCTTGAAAAAGATGGCAGAAATTAAATTGTTCATGACGTTCCAACAAAACCCCCCTTCAGCAGATCTCATAATTAATGTCAGAATCTGTACAAAAAGTCAAACCACTTTTTGCTGTCTGATTAAATGGACAACACCACATTAGTGTGAATGTTTAACACAGATTAAAATAATTTAACTCAGTGAAATTGAACACACTCTGAGGCCATGGACCTAAGTCGAAAAAGGGCGGACTGCCCTCTTTAAGTTGGAGGTGAGGTGCTGCCACACGTGGAGGAGTTCTAGTATCTTGGGGCTTTGTTCACAAATGAGATAGAATGGAGGTGAGCTCCACAGATGGATCGATGCAGCATCTGCAGTATTGCAAACTCTGTACTGGTCCACTGTAGTGAAAAGAGAGCTGAGCTGTAAGGCAAAGCTCTCTGTTTACTAGGGGTGCACTGATAAATTGGCCCCGATTTCCTTAATTTTGGAAAATTGGCTGATACTTGCATGAGAAACTGATTTTGCCGATTTTTTTTTTTTAGTTTTAACAACAATTGTCTGAACTTTATTTATATTTCAGAGCACTACCCCATGGCCAGTTAAAACAAGTTTGTATTGTTTCTAGGATATTGTTCAAGGGTATGTTTTTCAAAAAAAAAAAAATATTGGAAAATTGAATTTTCATTGTGAGCTTATAACACCTGACAGTGTCGCTTGTAAAACAAAATCAGTATCGGCCAAAATCAGAATCGGCAGGCCAGACTTTTTAGAAATCGGTGATCGGCCAGAAAACTGCAATTGGTGCACCCCTACTGCTTACCGGTCGGCCTACGTTCCTACTCTCACCTACAGTAACAAACTCTGGTTAGTGACCGAAAGAATGACATAGTGGATACAGGTAGTCAAAATGAGTATTATCCACAGGGTAGCCCCTATAAAAAGGGCAACAATTTCAGTTATCTGAGAGAGACTTGAAATAGAGCCACTGCTCCTCCACATTGAGAGGAGCTAGTTGAGGTGGTTCGGGCATCTGGTAAGGATGCTCCCTGGGCACCTCCCTTGGGAGGTGCTCCGAACAAGTCTGACTGGGAAGAGACACCAGAAAAGATTACTTGGAATCTTCCCAGAAGTGCTGGAAGAGATGGCTTGGGAAAGAGATGTCTGGGCCTCCCTGCTCAAGCTGCTGCCCATGACCCGACTCCAGAACAAGCAGAAGATAATGGTTGGATGAAAACTGGATTCATTTTACAAGTTTGGGATCTCTGTGGTTCGAGAGCATTAATGTTTCCTCTTAAAGTCAAAAAAGCACCTTAGGTATATGTTTCAATCAATGTATTTAGCTAAACATCCATAGGTACTGTATGGATGGGTCATTCTTTACTGAAAAGTGAAGGTGTAAACTTACCATGAAACATGTGATGTGTACGTTTCTAAATAGGGCTGGCACAGTTTTTCTGACCTAAAGGTTTATAGCAAATTAATTTATGTGAAAAAAAAAATATTGTAAAACACATCTTGGTAGATAAGAACCTTCGTAGGAAATATTTTCAATCAACTTATTTGAAAGTTTTTCCTGACCTCCAGTGTGTTTACTCATAATGTAAAAGCAAAACATAAAATATCACAGTATCAAGTAGCTAAATGAGGAATGACTGTTTGTGTTGGATGTTTTGATCCACTGATGGGCTGAAATCAATTACCTTTAATTAATTAAAATGATTGTGTTTATCAGTTGGTCTCTTTATTCCCTTTAAAGAACATTACACACCTATGAAAGGCAAGTTGTGTCATTTGAGTTCTAGTTCTGCTTTTGGGCAGCTTCATGGCAGAAATGTGTGACAATGTCACCTAATGTGAAACAGTCATACAAAAACACTGAAGGCTGAAAATGATGTTGGGGTGAAATAAACAGCTGTGATGGTACTTTTAAAAAACTATATCAGAAGAACAAGCTGCGGTTAGATAAATGGTTTAAAATCATTTTTTAAAGAATTTTATTGGCACAAAATGTTTCCACAGGATAGACCACGATTGAAACACATTTCCTGTTTCCTGAGTTTGCTCTTCCATTTGGCGTTCTTTCTCCATTGACTACTAGGACTTTTATATTTATGCCTAAAACATTAAACAGTCTTTGAACATGTTCAACATGTTGGAGTTGTAGAATTGGAGGAGCAGGAGTTGGTGGCTGCAGAGGATATCAGTAATGAGAGCGAATAAGACGATCACATTAATAACATGATCTGACTGAAAACTCCTGACCTCATGTCACAGTGAGAGTACAAGGCTGCCATTTATAGTAATGTGTGTGTGTGTGTGTGTGTGTTCAGGTCTCTTTTGTAAATGAGTCCTCATGGCTCAATGGGACTATCCTGTTTAAATAAAGTTTGAATGAGTGTGTGTTCACACGACTGGGTGTGTTTAATTGGGGCAGGCTGATCACAAAGCATCTGTCCAAGCAGCTTGGATGAGTGATGGATGATCCAAAACACTTCTCTGTCATCTCTCCCTGTTTCAATGCTATCCATCACGGGACTGGTAGGGTTGTATGGGGAAGATGAGTCACAATTTTTAAATAAAGAGCAAGATAATTTATTGTAGGGCAGCACGGTGGCGCAACTGGTAGAGCTGCTGCCTCTCATCGAGCAGGTCCTTGGTTCAAACCCCGGTCCAGGGGCCTTTCTGGGTGGAGTTTGCATGTTCTCTCCGTGCA